ATATATATATTTTGTATAATAAAATATATAGATATAAATATATATATTGGGTACCGAAAATATGGGAATATGTGCAAGATTTCGTGCTCGGTGTGTTTAAACACAAGACGCAGACGCAGGTAGGTAGACAGAAAAACTGAATGGTAAATACGAACGAGGTACAACGAGCTGTTGAACATCTGTGAATAAAAAAATCGCACAAAATAAAAATGCGAAAGCATTTCACTCAATTCAACGATTCTCAATTTACCGCGAACGGTATTTTACAACCATGCTACGAGAACATCATCACGAGATGCAAATGATTCTTTGACGTCAGACAGTGTTGCGTAAAGTCGTTATTCGTAGATAATTCACTCGCTGAAAGAAATGCACCATTAATTTTATCATGATTAAATATTAAAAATCGCAGAATAATTTTAGATCGGAGAGCGTATAAAAGGGACATTGGGGAGAAGAAGTTTCGCTATATATGTATTGTCGGTATAATACGTAGGTGATGAGCGGGATAAAAAAAAAGAGAAGAGATTCGCGGTTCGTAAAACTAACAAATTGGTAATATGATCGCCACGAGAGAGCATCTTTATATCATTCAACGAAACCTATATATCCGCGTTCCACGCGGTAATGTGCATTTGATATCCGTGTGTCATTGCGATCTCGGCATTACGACATAATGAGAGACGATAAAAGCAGGACGGCTCCATTGACAACCGAAGGCACGTAACAATGGAATCCATCTGGTTACGAAAATTTTGCGCTCGGTGTCCGACAAATGCACTGGCGGATCCACGGAAGACTATGGAGGCCATGACTTCCCCTTGAAGTCTCCTTTTGTCAGAATATTTATAACAAAATATTATATATATTTCTGAAATGCTTAATAATTTTGAGATATTCTAAAAATATTTTTTTAATTTAGGAAATCTCTAGATATAAAAAATATATCTAACAGGATCGTCTTCACAGTCTGTTCTTATTTTAAGACTAAGCAATGTCTTAAGATGCTAATACAGTCCTCTGATTGGCCTTAAGAATCGACTATGAATATTACTCTGTTTTTTTATATCTCTAAGAGCTTCTTAAATTAAAAAATATTTCTGGATTCCATTATCTTATTCTTCTGTGTTAACATAATTTTAAATAAAACGTTCCATGAATTTAAATAATACTTTTTTAATAATTTAAATAATAATTTGATATTCTATCTTTTCATATTTGATTTAAAAAAAATTTCTTACTTGCAGCATCAATGCCCTCTCCTTGACAAATTTCTGGATCCGCCAGTAGACAAACGTGAATTTAATTTCTACTAAATTCATAACCGAGATAAACTGTGAAGTAAGAGCACCAATGAGTGAAGCTTTATGTCACGTATCCGCGTCTCGCAAAGTAACGGCCTGAATAAAAGTCGCCGTTCGCGGTACGTGAACGGTAAAATGTGGGACTACAAGCGACTGTCGATGGGCGTTTAAGCGCGCGTTTAAAGTGGGCGGAATAGTCACGCATCCGCAGGTACCTGACGACGCGAACGTGGCATTTTCTACCCAAGGAGATGCTCGCGTTAGGTAATAAATAGAAGTGAAGCGCGGTCAGGACGCGCGAGCGGTAGCAGATGTCATTGCGGCGGACGGAAGAAGGGACCGCGAAGTCACGCGTCGGAGAAAAGTGCAGAGAATCTTAATTTAAAAGTTAGATGACACCAACTCACCGCGTATAAATCACTCCAAGATTTTACCACCCCGTTCCTGGCGCCGCCTTACGCCCACTCTCACGTCGACGGCGGCGGCGGCGGCGGCGGCGGCGGTATCTCGTTTGCGCTCCTATTTCTCGCGAAAAAATTTCGCTGAGCTGCGGAAGTTCGGCCGCGCGAGGAGCATGGATAAAAACCGCGCCGACGAAGACTCATTACCAAGATAACGAAATTGGGTAAACTCGAAATGCCCGAGTACCTACCTCCGCTTGCTATCTCGTCGCGCTCGTCGGTGAGATCGATAATAACGGCGAGAGCCGAGACTTTTAGATATTACGAGGTGTAAGCGTGTTACTATCGCATCGAATCGCGCTATCAGCAGGTTGTCAGAAGAGGATTATTCAATCTGGGATTGTTTTCGTACGTCGCAGGTGCGCGACTGTTGAAAATCGGACTGAGAATCTTCATTAACGTATTTTGATTCCGACGCTAAGAAACGTAGCGCGAGAATGTGGATGGTGGAAGAGATTATTTAGAGATTAGACAAGAAGTGGATTATTGTCAGCCGCATCGATTGTACAGCAAACATTATTTCTTATGGCAATTAATTTATCCTACAAATATTGAAAGATCTCTCTCCTTCTCCCCCCCCCCCCCCCCCCCCTGTCCTCGCAGAGAGAGACACGTATCTCGCCTTAGATTCGGATTCTCTACAGGTCGCCATTAAAACGGGCGATCGCCCGGATAACATATGAGCACACGTAACTTACCTCGCTTCTACAAACTAATTGTCTATTCACTAATTGTATTGTGCATCTACGAATGGGAGCAACAACACCACCGTCGAGCTAGCCCGCCGCTTCCCTCGCGCGTCGTACGCGTTTAAAAGCGATTCGCACATATGATTACTCCTTGTTACTCGACCTTAAACTTACAATTGCGTTGCTACACTCAATGATCATCTCCGTGTATCAGAATTTTCAATGAAATATGTTCGGTTAGATACACCTCATCTCATCTCAAGTGCGAACGGCCAGATGCTTCGTGACCAGTTTTACACGTCGGTGAATTCTATATACTATGATTCCTTAGAATCATAAACCGCAAAAAGACATAATAAATTGGTTAAATTAAGATTGAAATTAACTGTGGATGTGCGAAACTGGCCATTAATCTCGCCATCGGGCGTGTAATCGATCATCCAATGCAAATTGTTTTCTTTTCTCTTTCATCTTGTAGTTCGTTCAAATCATATATGTATAATAATATATACAATAATATTCGTACTAAAAGTGTTTAATATACATATCGAGACTCCTTACAGAAAGAATAGTTGTGCTAAAATAGTTAAAAATTTAGCTAAACACGGATCTGAAAATAATTTCGTTGGATCATTAAAATAATTATTTTCAGATCGTATCTAGCTAAATTTTTAGATATTTCAAAATCATTCTTTCCATGCTTTCATGCTTCCGCACATTAATGAATACAGTTTACCGTGCATAGTTTCGTCGAAAAAATATAGGAGGGAAAAAAATAGACGCTATCGGTCTATATTACTGCTATTATTGGCATTTTTATTGAAGGTAGGCCGTGCGTCATAACGGCATGACGCGATGCGTGTCTTTGATACGCGTAGTCTGCTGTTGTCAGTTTCTGCAGAGTAGCGACCGCTTGATTCCGGCCTACGTGTTTACCCCAAACTAGCGATCCGCGCAGCGACCAAGAGGAAATATCACGTTATTTACAGACAGTCGGCCTACTGTGCCACCTCCTGTGACAGAAATAAATGTGGAGGAACGGGTTTCTCAGGGGGAGATATAAGGATCAAAGCCATACCCTCTGCAAAATCTAGCGGAGGTTGCTATAACTATTTGCATCGATGGATATACAGTAGGCACGTGTATGCGTATACACTCCGCGCCCACATGTTTGCACATTTACATGAATCCATAACTAACCCACGTAATAAATCGTTGCGCCTCTGCTCAGGTCTCATTTTAGTTTCCACGAGAAGGCAATTTCATTAATTTTTTATAACGAACAGTATTATGGGCTTCGCTTCACGATCTCCTTCCTTCATTCCACCCCTCATACATATCAACCCCGAGCGTCATCATGTATTAATTGAATTAAAAGACACGCATCCTTAATGTGTATTTTGAATAGCACGCAACATGTGCAATATCGTTACAGCGTAAAATTAAGGCGTACAATTACGATCAACTTAATCTCACGCGATTCCTCTCTTATTGTACCGGCTATCTATTTTTTTCACGATAGATTTAACATGCCTTGATTCCTACGTAGAAGCTAATTTCGATGTGCGCGCCGCGCCAGATTTATGAGTGAGCAAGGATTCCATGGTATAAAAAAAAGAAAGGAAAAAGAAAGATAGATACAGCGGCAAAGCCTTGTTCGTCCGACCGTCAAATTGCAAATTGTCTTCGGATTAAATTTATACGCAAGACCTATCCTCCATCCCCTTCTTTCTCGAGAAGGTTCGATCCTGTTGTGCCGCGTGATACAAGAAAAAAAACCGCTGCAGTACATAAAACGCTACTGCGAACGCTAATATAATTACGGTTATCGCGAGCACAGTACTCTCGTTTGTCACGTGGACGATCAATCATGGAAAATGGTCGTTGCGCGGAGAAATTAGCCCATGGGTGAACTCCCATCGAAACAACTGTAAAACTCGTCGCGAAGGAAGAAAGGAAAAAAAAATGTAATGCGACGCGTCGGTCGATTTGAAAAGCGGAATTATACGGCACGCAGCTCGCCAGAAGTAGGGAAAATGTCAAAGTTTTCCCAGCTTCTGTTCATAAGTAACAGAGCCGCGCGGAGGGGTGGCAAACTAGTGTGGGTTCACATGATCTTCATTATGCTTCCGATGACATTTCGTAACCCCATTTCGCCAACTATGTCGGTTTTTTTTTTTAAATGCATCGTTGCTCAGAGCTCGAAGTTATGGTCGAATTAACTTCAAAAGTGAAGCCTTGGAAATGTTTAATTTTATTGTACACCGATATTGTATGTGGCTCAAAATGAAGAAAATTGTCTTTCAAAATCAGAGGAGATAAATGATAAATCGATTCGCGCTAACGAGACGAAGGGTTAAAAGTGCACTCGTAAATTCAGCTGGTGGAGGGAGGAATAATCTCCAAGATAATCATTCCACGAGTCGACGAGAGTACTGAGCTTTTGAGTCGGCGGGCCTTTTTTTCTGTTCAAGTCCTGGCCGGTTAGAGGTCGAAGACTATTCAGAAACGAAGAAGGGGCAGATGTTTGAATTCGCCCACGTGCTGGCGGCGTGACGTCACGGCCAGCGCGTGGGCGTAGCGAGGTACCAGAAGGAAGAAGAGGGATGAGAGTGGAAATAGGAAGACCGTGGCGAAGGGAGGAAGGGCGGAAGGGAGGGAGAGAGAGAGAGAGAGAGAGAGAGAAGCAAGCGGAGCGCAAGAGAGGGTTGAAAAGGTGGGTGAGCGAGGAGCGAGAGGATGCCAAGGATCAATGCAACGGCGAGACCGGGAGGGCAGAACCTGAGAATTCCCGCGGGATACACCGGCGCGACGCGGGATACACGATCGCGGTGTACTGGTCGGTGAATTTAAAAGGAGCGGGTATCCCTTATCACTAAAAATGCCTCCACCCTCTCCCTCAATCGGAAAAAAAAAAACACGGATCTAATCAAATTCAACCCGCGAAAGGATCGCTGAGAGGACCAAAAGGGAACCGAGTACGCTGGCCATTATAAAATCGATACGTGCGCTTCAAGTTATATAACGTGGCATTTCACGTGTGCGTTATCATACACAAAGACACTCACGTGGAAATTATTAAACGCGGTCATATTATTCGTTGCGATTCCGTTTCGATCGCGTTGTTCTGCGCCACGAAATTCGCACGAGGCTAACAGTCACACGTGTCCCTTAATCTTAAACCTAGATCGATTGATTCTCTCCGAAAGAAATTTTACGCAAGATTTCATCTACGCTATCGATCTATGTTATCGTGGTTACAGATGCGATGACTCAAGATGACTCAAGGTAATTCAGGCACGTCGAATTTCGCACGAGGACTTCTATATGATCGACGCAGAAATGCGGCATATTCGACCTTCATCATATGGAAAAAGTGATGCACAGTGGAGGTAGGTAGAATACAGTTTATTTCTGTACTCTGCGAGAGAGAGAGAGAGAGAGAGAGAGAGAGAGAGAGCTTCGCCCTACAGGTGCGCACCTGGATGAGTCGGTTCACAGTTCGCCGATCTCGCGTTTAATCAACTGTGATTGCATATTATACATCGTACACACGGTTCCCTCACATTCCTTCAATTTTTAGGAATGGAATATTCTCCACAAAAACAAACACAACGACAAAATACCGTTGAAGACACGTGCGTAAAATTTATTACTTTGATAATCAATTACAGGAATAGATCAGCTGATCTATTCCTTCGTTAAAGTATTTCATAACTGAAACGCGATAGGATCTTATGCTTTTATTATATTTTAAACCAATGTAAAATTTATACCTAGAGTTAATTCACACAATATTTCTTTATTTTTTCCAGTTAATAGCAATCGCGAAATAATTTAATAAAGTTTAAACAAAAACTATCGGAACGAAGAATTATATATGTAACTGAATTTTTTGTATCCGATATGTCTATTAAATTAATTTAGTAGCATTGTCATATTTAATATAAAATCTTTCAATTTTATTGTAATATATTATACATATTATATAAATATACGTATTATCTTACGATCAAACAGAAGCATTGGATTGATCGATTACACTTTCTATAACCGCCTTATGTATAGGTATCGTGAAATACGCATGTTCTTCGTAAATCAAATCTATCGGAAAGATTAGACTTTCCTCCTGCATTGACTTTCAAAGATAAGGCTAGCCCTTTGGATTACCTGATGTTTCCATCGTACACTTAAAAATAAATTCGGCGGCGATCTTGGCCATTTAACGATTTTTTTTTAATTTCACTAATAGCGTTTTTGTAAAAAATAAATAGATATAACATAAATGTAATATAAGTTTTAATTATCGTGGTATGTGCAAAGTTATCAATTAATCAAAAAATTAATATAACAAATAGATAAAAAAAGACTCGACAAAAGATATATTTAAAACGCAAACTATATGTCATATACTACTTAATTTAAATTAATCCAAATTTTACTTTATGATATATAAATTAGTTTTAATTTAATAACAACGCGCCTACTTTTAAACATTCTGAATTAAAATTCTTCGAAGAATTCAAATAAAATTTATACGCGAGTAATATCAATCAAATGAAATATCTCGTTAATTTATATCGAGTGATGAGAATATAATCAGAAATAAATATTGAGATTGAAGAATTCACTTACCCTTCTCCGATTCGTCCGGCTCGTCACTGGCGCACTCCGGTGTGCTTCGCTCTTCCTCGCTGCTACTGAAACTTCTTTGTTGCGTGACGCCCACTGTTGACGTAGGTTGGGCAGAACGTCCGCCCTGCGTCTGATGCAACGAATGCTGCGAGGGATGCATTGCAGAACGAATGGAGCCAGTCTCCATCGGTGTCTGACCGTAAGTCATTCCGAGGTCTGTACCCTGATCCTGCATTGCATTAAATAATCGATACGTTATAAAATTCAGCGGGTCGATACGATAACATGGTTATCAAATCGTATATCAAGTTGTAACTTTTTTGTATACAACTGTCGTTAATTGATCCGTAACAAATTTTATAAAATAAAAAGATTATTATGGTTGAAAATAAAAAGATTTGTTAAAGTATTCAATGAAAAATTAAGTTAATTCTATATAATCAGTTAGTTCATTCAGTATTTTTATCTAAAAAAATTAAAATTCTAACATTTTATGTCAAATAAATGCGTGATATAAAAAATAATATACTTTTTATTTTTTATTAATTATTACTTTCACACAAATAAAATTAAAATTAAAATTTAATGAAGAAGACTATATTCTATTGTAAAAGTTATTTATACCGTTGTTTATTATCACTTTATTAAATTTGCATGCTTCCCCGGGAAAAAATGTTATATATATGAACATATATTTTATATATAATGATATATAATTGTATATAAAATATGTCAATTTTTTATGTAATTATTTATATACAATTTTATATAATTTTATATAATTATACCTATATAATTATATGTAAAATATTTTTTTCCCGGGTGAAGAAAATAAAATTAGCTCACCGAATTTAATGCGGCTGCACATATATTCCATAATTTTCATAAGAATTGAAATTATCGATTCGGAATTATTCCGATTCGAAATTATCGGTTTTCTTACTTGATAAGTCAATCGTTGTCTCGAATAGTTCTGCGGATGTTGTTTCATCAGACCGTCAAGCTCGCCTCGGTATAAATTGGGATCGTCGTCAGGATAGGCTGCAGGATGCCTCGGAGTTTGTTGCATCGGATAAGAACCAATTACATGGGGTGTCGGTAAAGTTCTCGCGTGAGGTGAAACAGACATTTCTACCCCACTGTCGCTCGTGGACATCCGGCGACCCGAGATCTACAACCACAGGAACGAGGCTCACTGAGTACTCCGTGCAATGTATATCGCGAGGGCGCGGGCTGATAATTCTCTTCGGTTATGACGAGAACGCCTCGACCTTTCCTTCCGTTCGTAAATAAATAAATCGCGGAGATATCAAATGTGCGAATTATTGCGAACTTATCACGGTGCGATTTTACATATTTATGAGTGTAAGAGCATCCGAGCATTTACGTGCGCAAAAGTATATCTGCCTTGTAAATAAAAGAGTGCGTTCCGACAAGAATATCGGGCGAGCGAGGAGAACGTTACCTGCTCTTGCTGGGAGTACTGTCTCCTGAGAGGACAGTTTCCGCTTCTCTGTAATAACGGCAAATTCTCTTTCTCAGCCGCGCTGTGCGCCCTCTCGAGTTTCGGTCTTTTATCCCGAGTTTGGTCCGCGAGTCCCTGATGACCACCCACCTGCAAGTCTTCCTGCATTTGCCGCATCATCGCGTTGTCCACGGCGAGGCCCGGCCTCGTCATCCATTGTCCGGTCTTCGAAAGAAGTTCCTGCTTCTTCTTGCAAAGTACGCACATCCACACCACCTGCAATCAGAAAAGTAACGTTCTCGTTTTGACGTCACGATAAAAATACTGCGAGCGTCGTCCATTTGTAACTCGACACTGTGAGGGAATATTTTGGGACTAAGTAGTGCGCTTGTACAATGTGCTTTATTAAGGATCATCGGGGGAACGAATGTGTGCGCAAAAATTTTATCTTTCCAAAGCGCGAAAGTATCTTGAAACTTATCGATCCAAGTCACCGCGTGCGGCCAGTGACGAGGATATTAATAGGAAATTACCTATAGGAAGTCGGCCGGTTACCAAGCTAATTGGAATGTATAAAGCGGCGTGAGATTGATTATAGAAAAGCAAAAAACACGCAAACTATAGAGTAACCTAGACAACGTGCGACATATCTTATTTCGCAACTATCCTTGTTCGAGCGTGTTACTTTTTACGGTGAGCGATTCGCATAAAACAGAATTAAAAAGTGCGTTCTAGATCAAATAAATACGACGAGTATTTAGAACAATTGTATCCGTTCTGCTCCGCAAGGTTTGAAATCTCGTCGGTGTTTTACAGAGAGAAATCCCTCTCCAAGTTTCTGTCGCCGGATCGAGCCATTGCCTCGGGTTATATTCTTATGCAAATCTACGTGAATCTGAGTAATGTTAAATTAAATTGAATAGATGCGAACGTAAAGATGAAAAGCGTAACAAAATTAATCTGCCAGTATACGTAGACGATTAAAAAGTAGTTGTAATTCTTCTGCTTCTTTTATATGTTTTTGTTAGAAAAAAAATGTTTCTTTATAAATGTTTATTAATTTGTCTTAAATATTAATTCGTATTTCGATAAAATAAAATGACATAAAATAAATTAAAAATTATTGTTTTCAAACTTACAAATTTGTTTCACGAAGATATATATGTGCATTCATAATTTATAATGTTGTTATAGTATGAGACATTCTTTTTTATGATATTATATTTTTGCATTTTAGCTTCGTGTAATAGATATATATATTTACATTAGATATATATCTAGCATTAGTTAAATAATTTGTTTTTAAATACGAGACAAGTTATTAAAAGTAATGATACACAAATCTGCAAAATGGAAAAACATTTCGTAATATATTCTAGTGTGATTACAACAAAAAAATGAATGATTCAAATTAAGGCGGCATGTTTTATATAAGATTAATTGTTCAATAAATTACTTATAATATGCATTCTTATAGGTAATTGTTGTGTATTGGATATAATGAGGGTTCACAATTAGCGAACTACCGCTCGAGTCAAGTAGTTTGCACTGTGAATAGAAACTAGTAGAATATTTCATCAAGATAGAGAGTGATGGATGGAGCGTTTAGTAGCAAACTACAAAACAATGCCTATGCAAACTCTCATCGATAACACTTTGCTGCCCACTCCCACGTTACATTGAGAAAATCATGATGGGGATCAATGACGCTGTCAAATAATGTAGAATTGACGGTTTCGTTATTCTGCGAGAATACAGTGCTACACGCGAAAGGAGAAAACTTTAATCATTATTGTAAGAATCTAGATTTAAAAATTGACGTCAAACTATAAACTTTATTTTAGTTTGATGACGAATCCGTTGAGACCTAAGAAGATAAGTGCCTGTCAACCTACTTCGTGCTGAACGCTGCGTGCGAAGTGAACGTGACTCACAATCAGTATTGAATTCACTGTACATATGTCAAACTTTGCCTTAAAAGATGAAATTTTTATTATATAATAGTGGTTAATATCATGCGATATATATTTTTAATAAATATAGTTGACTGTGCGATTCGTTTTTGCATAATAACTTTTTTTTCTTATTTGATCCTAAATAAAATAATATTGCATATACAATACAAAATTATTTCGTTATTATATAGATTAAAAAATGTACACAACTTTCTACAATGACTATTAATTTTCAAAGCTGTTGAGTAAAATTAGTCACTTAATAAAATTGCCAAATAGAATATGTCCATAAAACATATAATTTGTACTAACAATGAGATTGTTTCCCTCGCAATTACAGAAAATTATATACACACAACTGCTGCAACTGTTATTCGATCAAGAATTTATCACGATGTTATGTTCCATGCCTTTCACGGAGGAATACAAAGACATTTAGATACTTGGACACGTTTCTCCTGATTCGCCACGTTTCGTTAAATGTTTCTTTAAGAATTATTGGAAAGCTTTCAATGTCATTTCGCGGGCTGTAAGCTTAGCGTTCTAGAATCAAAAAGGAGAATTCCAAAAGGAAGCTATAGCAATGTAGAAATACGCACGGAAAGAACGATGGAAGAAAACGAGTCGCGTGTGTGTGCGCGCTTCAACTTATTATCTCAAACTGCGACGCGAGAAGAATTTTCCGGCGAATTCGAATACGATTGACGTTGCACGTACGTGCGACGATCGCGTACGCTTCCGCGAGTACCTTCCAACTAGGTACTCGGCAACACCACGATGTAGACTGACAGCACGCCTGTAAGGAAGAGTCCGCGAGGAGCTGAGAAGAGAATAACAAAGATGCGGAGAAAAGGAGTGAAGGAGGAAGCACAGCAACAAAGATAAATGCGGACGGGAAGAACTTGAAGAGCACTTCGCTGAGTTGCCTAGACAGCAATATGTCAAGAGTTCAACCTCTTCCCGCGATCTCCCTTCGTTCGCCAGCGTCCTTCGTCCGCCGAAAATATTTCTTACGTACGTGTGACACATGTGATCTACCTGCCAGTCTGGGAAAGAAAAAGGGAAGAAAGAAAGGAAGGAAGACGATCCTTAAGCTATCTCACTATCCTGTGCAACGATTCGAGAGAGTTCAGTGCCGTGTAAATGATCATCATTAATTCGGCGGATTGATCCGCGTCGGTGATTTGCATTAATTAATTAGGGACAAATTAATTCAGATTACTTTATCACGACGCCAAGTACGCAGTCCCACCGGCGGCGGGGGCCGACAATGGCAACGGCGATGACAAACCGGCGTCGTCATCAACGTCCACGTCCCGATACTTCGAGCATGAGGAACGATCGATACTACACAAGCTCGTACAAGTCAATCCGATAAGTCACTACGACGTCAACGATATATACGGCATGTAATATTCGCCCACAGCGAGTCAACGTGATTTCGTCTTGACTTCGGAAAATGTGATCGATGCGAGCGTTCAATATATAAATCCCACCATGTATACCAAATTATCTCTTATCGATATTATTCGAGGAAGAGAAAGAGATAAAGAGAGAAAATTATTTAATAAATTTTAATAATAATTTGATGCATTGGCGGATCCACAAGGGGGCCTCTCTTAGAGTATCTTTTCTTAAAATATATGCAAAATGTTATATATATTTTTAATATTTCCGACATATTTAATCACAATTTTAATTCCAAATATAAAAATATTTCTTAATTTAAGAAGCCCCTATAGGATAAGAAATATACATAGATTTCATTATTATTATTCTATTTTTGGATTAATATGATTTTAAGTAAAACGTTTTATAATTTATATATTTAAATGATACTTTTTCAATCAAAAATAATTTAAATATTCTATCTTTTTATATTTTACGGTAAAAAAATTTTGCTTGCGACGCGCAATGGTCTCTCGACAAATTTTTGTATTTCCCAATGACTTAATGTCAAAAATTCTCATTTAAATATTCACTTTATAATTTTATATATGCCTTGAAAAAAAACACAAACTTTTATGAAGAAAATAAAAAACGCGTATATATTATATTAGTAAAATATAATTTAAGATGAGACATATATAGTCAATGTGCTCGTAATATCACCACACTGCTCTGTTTTTTCAGACCTTCCTCTTTGATCACTCGGAATGGACCCGAAACTAAATCAACTGAACCTGCAGTCTTATCTGAAGGAGTTTCCGCTTTCTTGAATAAAGCATTGTTTTTCAAAGAAAATAGTTCTATGAGAACCGTCACGGAACAAAAGAACCGACTTCTTTATTGTTAGCAACCACCTGATGGATGAGAGAAACGTAGGAAAAGATAACGGAAAGCACACTGCGACGCTAAGAGTTTCGGTTGTCATGCAACGATCGTCTACGTGTAGAACAACATTCGTACTTACAAGGAAAAAGGGATCCAACTGTCCCCCTCCGATCTTAATGAGCTTTTAGTATGTTATTCTCCAGACAAAAATAAGCGACACGTATTTTTTTATACGTGCCCACACGCACTTTTAAAGGGTAAAACACATTTTCTGAACGAAAATTTAAGAGTACTTTAAAACCATAATAAAAAAAATTTTTTTTAATTATTTATATGTAATAAAAATTATTTATTCATAAAAAAATTTTATTATTATTGTTCTAAAGTACTCTTGAATTTTTTACTTTTTCGACGATATCTGCTTCGAAAGAGAAAAACAGATTTTCTTCTAAAGTGTTTCGCTCCTTAAAAGTGCGTATGGGCACGTACAAAAAAATACGTGTCGCTTATTTTTGTCTGGAGAATAATAAACTAAAAGCTCATTAAGATTGGAGGGGTACAGTTGGGTCCCTTTTCTTGTTAGATCGCCCTTCAAACCTAAGTAGAACTCGCTTCGTATGCACCCTCTAACGAGGCATCGTATTGGAGCACTTCGGAAGACTAACCTGGAATCATGCTCGAGCATATAATACAGACGAAGTACGTGGGGAACGTGCACAAGTCCGGCTTTCGTAAATGACGGCCAAACCTTTGAGGCAAGCTGACGCAATTATCAAGTGCTCTCGTTTTAGAAATCAGTTTGCACACACAAGATCGGTGGAGTTTCAAATGATACTATCACCGATTCTAGGCAGATAATTGTGTACGTCAAGAGATGTTATTGTGTACGCCACTACTAGTCGTCAATGAATCACGTTGGTATAATTAACATAATGCAAAATTAATGACAGATTGATATATAAGACCAATAAGTACATTGAGAAAAATCTTCTGGTTCTATCTAAGAAGTATAAACAAAACGAATTCTGATTATATAAATCTTAATTC